CACCTTGGAGTCTGACTGAGTGCTTTCTGCTAGGGGTTGCGCTATTCCGGCGTCAACTTCCATCCCTAGTTCGGTTGTGTTAGTTAGGTCGACTGGGCAGATATGATAACTACCAGGAGTAAACTCTGCGACGAAGTCTGCCAAAGGTTGGGCTTTTACTACGGTTCTGGGTTGGAACTTGATGTCGTATTGTCCCAACTCTACTGCCCACTTTAAGATTCGCCCAGAAAAGTTCGCTCTTTTAAACAAAGCTTTTAGTGGAAAAGCTGTGAGGACGACTATGGTGTGGGCATGAAAGTAGTGTGCCAATTTCCTGGAGGCCATCATTAAGGCCAATGCAAGTTTTTCCAATGGCAAGTACCTTGTTTCGGCTCCCAACAATGTCTTGCTGACATAAAAGATGGGCAGGTGTTGGATTCCTTCTGTACGAACCAACACCGCGCTAACTGCGTGTTGAGAGACTGCCAGATACAAGAAGAGTTCTTCACCAGGTATTGGGGTAACAAGCAGTGGTGGGGAGGTGCTGAGAGACTGCCAGGTACAAGAAGAGTTCTTCACCAGGTATTGGGGTAACAAGTAGTGGTGGGAAAGACATATATTCCTTCAAGCTTTCCAGAGCTTGGTCGCATTCTTCATCCCACTCAAACTTGGCTTTTAAAGCTTGAAAGAATGGTCGCAATCTGTCTGACGACTTGCTTATGAACCGGTTGAGCACAGCCGCCATGCCGGTGAGATGCTGCACTTCTTTGACTGAGTTTGGTCTCTCCAATTCCTGGATTGCTTTGATCTGGGAGGGGTCTGCTTCTATACCCCGGTTAGTCACAAGGAAGCCCAAGAATTTGCCAGATCCTACTCCGAATGCGCACTTGGACGCATTGAGGCGCAACTTGTGTTTCTTCAAGACTTCAAACATTTCTCCCAAGTCCTTGAGATGGTCATTCTCATCCTTGCTTTTGACCACCATGTCGTCGATGTAAGCCTCCATTGTTCTGCCTAACAATGGTTCAAACATCTTGGTGACCATCCGTTGGAATGTCGCCAGTGCGTTCTTTAGGCCAAAGGGCATGACCTTGTAGCAGTATAATCCTCTTGGTGTTGTAAAGGATGTGACCTCCTGGTCTGGTTCATGCATGGCGATCTGGTGGTAGCCTCTGTATGCATCCAGAA